TGACATTCCAGCCAACTAAACCAGATTCTAATAATGGAACAAGGTATCACTAGAAAGATTCCAACATACTTCTTACTTACACTCATGCAGAACTTTTAAAACCTAATAAAACCGTTATCTTCTTACACTAATGTAAACCGTCTCCCAGCAGCAGTCGCACTGGCTCTCTTCACTGAGAATGGGCGTGACTACCCGGAAGCAGTTAGCTCCTCTGATGCTGAGCTGTCATAGGAGCGACCTGGGCCTCTGTCTGCGCTCCGGCTGCTGTCCAGCCACGGGAGCTGGAGGTCAAGGCGCTGCTTCTCCCCGAGTGCAGCTGCTGTCACCACGACAACCGAGGCAACGTGTCCTGGACCCACAGCCATTCTGGGACACAACTGCCTTGGCACAGCAGGCTGGAGTCACTGCCCTGGCCTAGTGGCTGCCCTGTGGCCACTCCAGATGACTCAGCCCTATGACCTCCAGAAGACCTTGATGCTGCTACCATTCTGGAAGTCACCAGATCAGTCTGCGAAGGCGGGACACTGCTCACGCACAATCACTCCTTCTATACAGGGTGTGTCCTCAGACTCCTGGGATGGCCCAGGAGGGGTCTCCAGCAAGCAGGGAAAGGCCAAGAGATGTGAAGATCTCATGCAAGAGAAGCAGCAGCCTCGTGAACCAGTCCATGTCTGGTTTCCATCTTATGTGCAGCTACGAATCCATGTTAGTTGGTGGCAGAAGCAGGTGTCACCTCTGAATCCATCAGTCCATTCTGAATCCACTGGGCAGCCAGTGAATGGAAGCCGGGAGCAGAGACAGGGACATTCAGGGTGTAGCCACCAGCCGGAAACAGAACGACGATGAGTGAGAGGTGCAGAAACAGCCCTCGGGGGTCACAGGCTCTTGTACATCTCCGGAGCGGCCACATTCCTGGCGCTGTGGAAGGCCAGCTCCCCCGAGTGGGCGAGCCGCAGGCTGACGCTGGGGAGATGCTTTCCTAGTGCAGAGGCCTGGCTTCTCCTAGCCCGCCAGGACTGCGCTCTCTGACTCGCCCACCCACATTCTCTGGCAAGGGCACAGAGTTCTGCAAGAAGTCTGCAAAGTGCCCTGCTCACGTGCCTTCACCGTGTCAGGAAGTGTCCTGATTTTAAGCATGTAGGGCTCGCTTGTTGCAGAGAGATAAAAATAAAACAAAATCAAAGTAAAACAACAACAGAAAAAGTCTGGCTGGTTGCTGCACAAGGACCTCTGAGATCTTTGTTGACTGAATCAGCCCCTTTGGCATCTTCTCACAAGGACAGAGGCTCAGAGCTTCACGTTTTGGAAGCACCAGAGGATTTGCTCAGCTCTGTCCCCCTGCACCAGAGTCACCACTGCTCAGGATAAAAGTGGACCCTGACTACAGCTCATGGTTGGGGTTCTTATGTGAGTTCAGAGTGATGCCAAATGAATGCTCTGAAACCCAGGACTTCACAGATGTGGATGCTGTGGCTCTCACAGAGCTGATGGACGTGGACTGTCACGTACAAACCCTGGCCAGAGGCATGGACCCTAAAACCACATCCCTGGGAAAGGTGAGGAGGAGCCTTTTCACCTTGCACACCGTGATCCTCCTGTTCGTGTGCCCTGAGGGTGGCTCACGGAGCCTCATACGAGTGGCAGAGACACTGAAGCCCTCAGATCTAAGCACCCTGCAGCCACCACTTGCTGCAGACATCAGTGCCATCCCCGCCTCAGCACCATCACCACTCTTACCCCTCTGGCCCTTGCTGTCCCGCTGCTTCATGCTGGCCTTCCTGTGTGGACACACGGCACTCTAGCCACTAGGAAAGCCTACAAGAACTGCCCCTGGGGGAGGCATCGGCCTCCGCCCTGAACGGTCTCCTTGCTAGGACTCGCCTTGCATATCTGGCCTCTTCCTTCTGGAGCACACAGCAAAGCACACCTCACACTGCTCAGGTTTGCAGACATTAAGCCACTGTTCTGCTGCTACTGTGGCCAGCATCAGCTGCTGCCGCCTCTGCTTCTTACGGTGCCTCTGACCGCTGGGATACTCAGTGAGGCCCCGAGGGTGGCTCACCGAGCCTCTTACACGAGTGGCAGAGATGCCGAAGCCCTCACAATCTTAAGCATATAATGAAAACACAGGCCTGGTCATTTCTGTGATTGCTTTATTACACAAAACGCACATGCTGGCCATGTGAAGCATTCAGGCAGCAGGAAAGGAAGCAGGGAGGATTAGAAGGATTTATTGTCTTTCGCCAACTTGGGTCACCTTCAAAACTTCCTCTCTGGCCCTCAAAATATGTCCCTTGCGTGGTGTGTACCTGCCCGTCTGCCTCTGTCTCGCTGTATTAGGTGCACTTTTCTTCCTTTTGGGTTTTTCTTTCTGGTCGTGCACAGTTCAGCATGGGGATTGTTCATATCTATTGTAGCTCAATATCTTAAGCAGCTGCAAGCCTTCTACTGAAACGCCTGTCCTTATGCTAAGACTAGAACGCTCTCAGTGAGAATCAGTCGTTCCTATTTGTGAAGCATTTCACGTTAGATTGTCTGGTGACTTGTCTCTGGGTGGCACTACAGGGCTGCGCTGTCACCAGACACCCCCGCCACTGGGAGCTGCTTCGGGATCGCACTGGGAGCAGTCACGCCAAGTTCTGGACATCTAACAAGACCGGAGCCGCTCGACTCCCCCTCCTGAAGGGCCACCGCCTACGAGCTGCCGTCCAGTCTCCACGGCCCCAAGGGGACTCGGCTCAGGCGCACAGTGTCACGTTCTACCTTCTGCCCCGTTGCTCCATCCCCAGCGCTCAGCACCTGTCAGGTGATTTGATCTTACTTAATGAGTTGTAGGTAAATAAATGGGGTCCAGTGTATTTATAGAAAATGTATCAAAAAGGAGATAAAGAATTGCAAGACTTGAAATGCTAAAACCTATTTCTTCAAATACCAAGTTTAAATCCTGCATGACTTTTTAAATTCCTAACATTAAAAAAATAATATATATTTTTAAGTAGCAGTTTCCTGGCACTTCTAGGAGAAAAGTTTTACAGAAATCTGCACCAAGAACATGTCACTCCATGAATAATAACTGAGCTAAACAAACAGCTCTGGGAAATCTTCACATTTTCAGCAGCCTTTTCTGTAGCCCCACGCACACATGTGCTACCTTCCGCTGCATGACACCCAACCAAGGGGACAGTGTGTAATTAGAGCTCAGTGTGATCTGGCATCAGCCCCCAGGCGGTCCCTGAGGAGGGCCACACAGGGAGGCTGCTCCAGTGACATCCAGGACGGCTAAATTGCCTTCACAGCACCCAAGGCATCCAGAAACCCTGCAATTGGGTCTCTTTGGCAGCCTGCAATTTTGCACTTGTTTCTATTTGCTCAGTAACCCCAGGACAAGGAGACCGAAGCTCAGAGCACGTATTCCTCCTGCTGCCCCTAGTCTCCATCTCACAGTGTCCGCTCCTGCGGAGCAGCTCTTTGGAGCAGCTCCGATCACATCCCGGGCTGGTTTGTTCTGCAGACATTGTGCTGTCATTCCTCACCACCACACTGCCCAAGCTTTCTGGAGATGCCTGTTCCTCTCTCGTGCAACTTTTCCCATGGTGGCTATAAAGGACAGTTACCCGGGGAGATCAAGAAGCTCCCATTGCCAAACCATGTCCCAGAGAACGGCGTCAGGACTTGGGGGCAGAGGCTGCGGGCAGGCTAAGAATGGGATGCTCCCATGTTACCTGCTCCCCATGATTGCAGGCTGCAGTGGAGTTAACATTCACAGGGCTGAGAGGAGCCGGCCCAAAGCCGCCTGCACTATCTGCCACAGCCTGTCACAGCACAGTGGGAAGAACGCAGCACCATGCTTCATCTCAGGGAAAATGTTACAGCTTTTTTCTAATGCTATTTTGTTATTTTATAAAGTTAATTTAATATATTTCAACAGATCCTAAAGATCATTAAGTCAAATTATTCTTAACTTTTCCTTTCACTCAATGTTTAACTAAACCAGCAAGTTTCACACACTTAAGCCTTATAACAACACTTACACACTTAGGTTTTCTTTCTACTTAATCCATGCTCAGTTCACCGCCAAGAGAACACAAAGTCACTTTGATTCACACTTACATGGCCTCACCACGAGCTGCGTCAGCTTCAGGCAAGCAATCAGGACAAGGTCTGGGTTTTTTGGGGGGGATATTCAACACTTTATTACAAAATAGGCTGCATTAGGTGCTTTTGCTTCCCTGGAGGCAAATGTGAGCATTCTGAGGATATTGTGGTAGAACAGGCTAAGCTGTGATGTTTAGCAGGCTAGGTATACACCTAAGTGCACTTTCAACTTACGGTATTTTCAATTTATAATGAGCTTATTGAGACTTAACTTCATCATAATCAAACAAGCATCTATATATTATGTTTGTAGAAGTTTTACAGAATACATCGTTGTATTTAGGGTTTACAAGGGAAAAGATTTAATATAGGACACATGACACATGATGTATAGGATTATTTTATAATATTCACCCAAAGGGTCAAATGCAAAAGAGTGTGGGAGATCTGTCCACACACTAGAGACCCAAAGAATCCAGCTGAGGGCCTGGATCTCATGGCAAGGTCCAGTACAAGTCCAGCTGAAGACTTAGAGCCCACGACAATATCTCGGCCAAGTCTCTATCAAGGATCTGCACTGAGAAAGACAAGTTGAGGCAGCAGAGGGAGGGGGTGGGATGCAACGCTGTTGCTGTGTCCCAGACGTAATGCTGTTGAGCTTATTCCATGAATGCTGTTCAACTGCAAAAGCTTCTCCTTGCAAAGGAGATGCCATTTGTTAGAGATCATTTACAAACTCCACGGCAGAGTTGACAGCAAGGGCAGCTTATGGCCTGGGCCTGCTGATTGGAATCTCCATGGTCTACGCTATGGGGTGTTCGCTCTGTGGCTGAGTTTGGAGCCCCTCGTTTATGCCCCTCCCCCAGGTGTCACTGCACATCTGTGTGCACCACCACCGTACTTACCAGATGGAGTAGGGACCCCCCGGAAGACAACAGAGAGTGCGGGTCTGCGCCCTCCTGCAGCAGCCGGAGCACTGAAAAACCAGAGAGAGAGAATAATGCACTTGGAGCAGCAGGTCTTGCCCACACTCAACACCAAAGGGGCAGCATTGCATCCATTCTTAAGGCATGAAGAGCCATGCAGGCCGGAGACAAACGATGCATCGCCCTCGATGTGAGCTCCTGCATCACAAGGGCTAGCATATTCCTTCACATTCAAACATAGTCCTCAGCTTGCAATGTAATTACCTGGTGCACCCATGCACACGAATGAGAAAATGGAACACAGCTTGTATAGCGTTGCGTTTTGAAATGTCAAGTTTATGCGTCGTGTGCAGACCAAAACTCAATAAATGAATAAAGACCAATTACCGGGCCCAGCTTATGTGGGCATTAGATTGCTGAATTTTTGTTTTTCAAATCCATTGGGCCCTGTTGGCTTAAAACAAAAAGTTGGCATTTTGTGCATTGAACTTCCATTTGCGCCATTAGGCAAGGAGTTGACCATTCTTGCAAACATAGTGGGACAAGCACACACACATATCCGAAAAGGAATGTCACAGAGATCAAAACGTGCAATAATTATGAGGATCAACTCTCTGCCGAAAGATTCCCTGTGTTTCCACATGAACAGCAGAGGGGAATTCGTTAGCACTGTGACAGCACTGCCTGGGCATTAAGAGAGGGGCTGGAGCGGAATGTCCCTGCCCCTTCCCACGAGGAGCCCCACAGAAGCATTCCTCAGGTTCCCCTGGCACTCCACAGTGCCCGTGACACATCACGAACATCTTCACCTATCGATGTGTGCTGGCCCATACGACATATCACGGCCCCCCTTAACTTTCCTGCCCCAGACACGCAGAGTCTGAGCAGCCCTGCTGCTGCAGGGTACGGAGACGTCCGTGTGTCCCACTCTGTCTCTGCCTCTCCACACACATCCCTGAGCAGTGAATGCTCATCCTTCTTCTTCATGTACCGGCACAGAATGTTGGAATTCCCACATAAGACACTGGAGAGTTCAGTGCCTGTTTGTCAGTGGTTTCCAAAGACAGGCAAAAGCACTGCACTCCAACGTGGATTCTTTTGGCACATGAAATTATTCACCCAGAACTAACATCTCTGTAGTGCTTTGCAGTCCACAAGGCCCTTGAGGAAAAGGGTTCTCACTAAGGACACAGAGTGAGAAGGGCATGTGTGTTGGGTTAAAAATATTAATGAAAACCTGCTGGATGTTGACGCGGAGTCCACAGTGGATACACATGATGACTTAAACATGGCGGGTGCCAGTGGTTCCTGTGTTTTTCTTGCATTAGGTAGAGGCCTGTCAGCCCAGGAAAGCTATCAAATGCACAGGACCAGGCTGTCCTTCCTGCATCGGGCACAGGGGTCAGCCACCCCTTCCAAGGCAGCAGGCTCAGCCTGGGCCTGGTGAGCAAGGGTACCTGTGCTTGCCCTGGAATGCTGCGCAGCTTATACGAACAAGGACTTTGCTCTTGTTGGATACGGCGCCTGATGGCGTCTGCTCGACAGGGCCCTTTGGTGAACTTCTCTTCAGGCCATCACTGGAAGAGACATTCAAGTGTTCGGACATTGCTGGTAGCTTTCTCTTTTACGTTCTGTCAGCCTCTCTTCACGGCTCCTGTGACTCTGTGCCTAAGCCCGTGTCCTGACTGCATGTCTGCTGGATGGAGCACTCACATTGTCTCCAAGGAATGTCCTTACTTTCTGAAAGCCCGCCTGCTGCTCTGCACCATCCACGCCACTTTCTTGCACTCACGCTGAGCATCCTGAGCCTTCCTCCTCCTCTGGCTTCTGCTCTCTCCCTGTCTCTGACCTAAGCAGGCATCTCTGGCGAGGCAGGATGCAGCTGCTTGATTCTTAATCCACTCTGTTACTCTGTCTTCTTGAGGGTTAAATTTTTTAATGTGATTATTAATAAAGAAGGAATAATGCCTCCCATTTGCTATCTGCTGCTGCGTGTATTAGGTTTATTTTGTTCCTTTGTGCCTCTATTTCTGCCTCTTTGGGGCAAATGGGTGTGTGTGTGTGTGCATGCGTGTGTGTGTGTGTGTGATTTTAATACTCTTGTGTTTATCTTCCTGCAGTGTCATTCTCATAGTCTCCATCTGGAGTCAATTAATATCTTAATTTATATCAAACTATGTCAGCTAAATACCAAGTAAACTTGAATAGTGTGCAAACACCTTACTCTATCATTTGTCTTTCCAACTCTGGGCTGCTATATTTACCCAAGTTATGTCTTTGTGTGCTCACTGACACAGCCATTTGTTTATTTATTTCTATGAACATCTTTTAAAGGTAACAGGATGAGACTAGAGTACCAAAAACTGCAGTGCCCTGTCTTCCTGTTTACTTGTGAGTTTCACTTTCAACTGTCTTTATTTGTCCTAAATTCAAGTTACCAGGCAGGGGCTCCTTTCTCCCTGCGAGATTCCCTGGAGCCACAAATGCTCTCTCCTGCAAGGGTTCCCGCCCCATCCCGGAGGGTGACTTCCCCAGGCAGAGCATTCTCCGCGGCCAGGGTGTTCCTGGGGCTCACTGGGTTGGCGGTCCCACTGCCCAGCCCACCAGGGTTAGCAGCGTGAAGGCAGGCAGGGATCTCCTTGAGGACCTGGCCCCTGATGAATCCAGTGTCCTGGTGATTCCCAGGCCCTCTGTCTTCTGCTTTCCACAGCTGTGCTGCGCCGTCCGTAGGGGTGGGCTGCCTCCGTTCATCCTGCTTGGAGTCTGGAAGTCTGTTAGATGGGCGCATGTTTCCTATCCACTTCGGGAGGCTTCCAGCTGTTAGCTCTTCCAAGGCCCCTCCGGCCCGCTGTAGGCCTCTCCTCCGAGACTTCTGAAGCGCAGTCACTCTTCAGAGCCACATCTGTAACGCTTGCGCTCCTCGCCACATGCAGGCGGAGCCCTCTGCACTCAGGGCCCGAGGCGGTCGGGTCCCCACTGTGCAGATGTCCCTCCGCGGTTCGCAGTGGGAACTCCCAGCCCTCGCTGTGGGTCTGAGTATACGGAGCCTCCTTGCCACGTGCTCCATGCGTCCACCTCATGCACGTCTTTCTGTGGCTGCGCTTCCTTCCTGGGCCACGCATGCGCAGTGTCCTCCCCAGCAGACAGTGAGTCTCTGGAGAATCTCCGGGGCGTGCATCCAGATCTGCACACACCAGCAGCCTTGTGCACTCGAGGAACACGTACGTCTCGGCATGTGGAGTGCCCCGAGGACCACGGTTAGGGAGGGTGTTCTGGGAGTAGGTGTTTTGGGCAGGCGCTTGTGTGTCGCAGCTGACACAGGGACATGGGAAGTAGCACTGCTGAGCATCCGCTGCTCGCTGTTCACTGCACGCGCTCCAGGGAAGCACGGAAGCGAGCTGCTTACCGTCAGGTGGCAGAGAAGCTGTCCCCGAGGGGGAGATCCCAGGAGCTGCCAGACATGAGCCAGGACAGATGCCCGGGGGCGGGCAGTGGACCCTGGCCTGGTCTTCACCCCGCAGGATGGGGAGGCTGTGGGCTCCCAAGGAGCCTGTGGTGCTGACCACCGCAGGAGGAGGTGACCGGGAAAGGCATAACGAGGAGATCGGCAAAATCACTGTCTCACTGGGAGTCAACCGCAGCGACAAACAAGAGCTCGCCAGGCGAGTCCCAGCCTTCAGCGCATCTCTCGTGATCTGGAAATTTTAGCAGACTTGGCCACTGTCTATTCTCTTCCCCGTTTCAGAGGGAAAGGTCATGCTGCGTTTCCTCCCTGCCTCGGATGAACTCCCCTCGCCCTGCCGCAGCCCTCAGGGCAGCTGGGTGGGTGCTAGGCACCGCGGCTTCTGGATTTCCCAGACACCATTTGTCACTTTTCTGAGGAACAGACTTTTCAGGTCCTCCCTCTGTGGTCCCAGCGGAGATCTCTGCCATGCATTTAAAATACAACAGAAGAGTTCTTAAGAATATTCATTACACACTAAAAAAGGATCAGCAAAGGTTTTAGGTTGAATAATGTTAATGATAATAATAATTATTATTATTATTGTTAAAGTTTAGTTTGCTAAGGTTTTTTTTTTTTTTTTTTTTTTTTTTTTTTTTTTGGTGGAATCGAGGATTGAACTCAGGCCCTTTGCACTTGCCAGGCAAGCACTTATTCTACTGAGCCATCTCCCTGGCCCCTTTGCTAAGGTTTTATAAAATAAAATGACATTTTTTAAGGCTAGTATCAAACTTACCTGTTTCATGCAATTTCTCATATACACAATTGTGAGAAGTATTCTCTGGGGGAACCAGGAATGTTCTGCTCACTAAAACCAGACCTAAATCAACAACACGATAAATTTTCCAGAACAGAATCGCGGGGACAGTTTTATAGTGGCATAAATCTAACTCCACATCTCTCCAGAGCTTGATGTAGGAACAGTAAATCTAGAATTCACATATATAAGCACCAGCTTCAGTTTGTATTTTCTCCCTATACATAATTCTCTGCCAATTTATGCTACATATATTTGAAATACTCTTTTTCTAAGCCATATTTTAGAAGCTACCTGGGTAAAAAACAACTTTGCAAGTAAATAGAAGGAGACACAGAGCTCACATGGCGACTGACCCAGAACTCTACTTGTCCACCAATATTTGCACAGGTTATTAAATTGTGGCTTGCTGGAATTAAAAGCACACAAACATACGTGCACACACACACACACTTGGAAGGGGTAAGGGGGAATAAACACCTGAGCACCGATGTCGCGGATCAGCGCCTAGTGACAAACGAAGCGAGGCCGTGGAGCACATCCACATGGTGCTTGCGGGCTCTGAGTTCTCTGGGCCTCAGCCTCCTCACGTGTGCAGCCGTGACAACAAGATCACATAGTAGTTGGTCCTAGAAGGACACTCCATACATGTCGGGGACATTACCTCCTTGTTAATTTGGGAGACCGTAAGGAGGCAACAGACAATTTTTGAATGAAAGCAGCAGCTTTTGTGAAGTGGGCGAGGTCCAGATCCTTGGGCTGCTAGGCGAGTCCTCCACCACAGAGCAGCT